AAATCATCATTTTGCTTTGGGTGACATGTCGAACTGACTGGAATAAAGAGGTAATTTTTTTTAAGAATGAGTTTTTAGTTTATTGGACAGGAGCAATGCTACACTTACAAAAAATGGTTGACAAACACTTTGATCGAACACTCATAATAGGGGGGGCCCACTTTTTTTGGAATTTGTTATTCACACGGGGCCCACACGCATGTGAGAGGTTGACAAACTCGTTGTCATCCATATTCGGTACATATGGAAAAACTTATTGGGCAGAGGTTTTCAATAACACGAAAATATTTTTATGTCTATCCAACTTTCTACGCGAAATGGCGAATTAACGTGTCACCTTTGAACGATGCAAGCATTATTTTTGACAATTTAGAATCAAATGCATATATTCTTCTATGCTATTTCAAAATCTCTACATTTACATGAAGATTCAAATGAATTAATTCTAATTATTAAATATACATTGAATTTTCAGGTGGAGAAAGCAAGGAAACGTTTGGACAAGTGGGAAGAAATAAAAAGCTAAAGAGCCTCCTCTTCTCAAGGACTAAAAGTGGGTTTCAGCTTACCGGATTAATTTGTTTAATAATTTCTCGAACGTCACCTTGTCTTCGTTTTGTACCCCCCACCCAACAATGTGTACACAAACTAGTCGAGCTGCTTTCTTTTCCAACCTTCCTCACCATTTTTGCCGAAGAGAAGTCGAATGAAGTTTTTCGATATTTCAAACCAATCCGAGGGGCTAGATTCTATTTAAAACTTACCTATTTACTTATACGTAAACATTTTAAGGAAAACCTTGTTAGATATTTTTTCACCATTTTGCATGTTCATCTTTTATTTTGCGAGTGTTTTGCCGCTCCGACTTGTGTTTGCTACTACGCAACGGGGATAGACCTGTCCAGTCAGGTCGAGGGGGTAGCACCTCCCGTGGGGGCTCGGGGGCAACGCCCCAAAAAGAAAATTTTATTTTTAGAAGTTTTTGAATAGATATGTTTCTTCCAACATATGCGTTCACTCATTTCAAAGGACACACCTATTTAAATAGTTGCCTCAATTTCTATATATTTTG